TTAATCTAGATCCTGGAATCGGTGATCTCCGTTCATTGGTTTCATCTCTGTCAGAAAATAATTTTTATTCTTTACTTATTTTTTCCATGTAATGTGAACGCTGAATTTCCTAAACCTTACTATTTATTTAAGTTAATTTTCCATACCTGTTTTTATAAATTGATTAATATAACATATATTTTTCAATCAGTCTCCAGGTGTCACTGTTATTTAACTCGAACACTTAAGTATAGTTTTAAATACATATATTTAGCCATTTCTAAAGTAAAATATCTCCAACACCTTTTCACGTACACTCTCGCCATCGGCTTCAATGTACCGGAACTGAAATGCTTACAACAGTACACAGAGAAATAGACTAAACATTTCCTGGAAAACCAGATGACCATCATGACATCACTAAACTCCCTTTATGTATATATCACCCAATTGATTACACCACCATTCCCAGTTTGCCTCTGAAAAAGAAAGGTCCACCTTTCAAAAGCACTCAGGTTATAGGGTTTTTATTCATTTTTGTCAAGACTTCTTGAACATACGTGTTTTTCTAACATCATAAAATGGAAAAATTTGGAGTACAAGGGTTTCACATGACACAGGCAAGTGAAAATTGAGAATCTATTTAAATATTCCCATTGAAATTAAGATTTTAAAACTTAGATAATAAAAAAAAATGAATTATAAACTGTTTTGATGCTGTTCTTATTGACATACATTAACAATAAAGCTGTTTAACCCTTTCCATACACATTGGAGTCGGAGGGAATATCGCATTTTGTACACTTGTATTCAAAATTTTATTAAACTATTTTATGAATGTTTTTCACTAAATTTGGCATCAAATTGTAGTTTATAATTGAAATGCTGGTATTATACATTAATTTATTAATTCAAAAGTAAATATTAAAAAAAAAAGTTAAATATGTGTGTCATGTGGTACATTGTCTACTTCTTTTGCTCAGATGACATTTTATGATGCCAACAGTAAAATATCTGTTGTTTTTAAAAACTCAAATTAAGAATACTATCAAGCTAGAATATAAAATAAGGACCGCCTACATTTTCTATTTACTGAGATATCATTATCTTTAGTGAACCCACCACAGTGGCTCTGCCCACCCCTTCATCTTTTGAAACTATTTGTTTATCTACACCTACTTTTCTTAAGTACATGCTTATAGTCAATGAAAAGTGCTCATTTTTATTTATATAATCTTGTCGGTTTTTCTAAAGTATTTATGTGGGGAACACTGTTATAATTGTTGGAGGGTTTGAAGTATGATGATCAAGGCGATATTCCAATCAGAAATGAGATTTTTTAGACCCAAATAAGGCTTAGTTGGGAAGCATGATAGATTACAGTTGATTTTTGTGGTAACATTTTAGTAATTTATAATCTTCTGTGTTCCAAAATGCATGTATAAAGTCTACAAAAATTAATTTTTCTGCTTATTCTGTGACACACACATACAAAAAAACTTCATAACATCATAAATAGTAGAGATCATTATTTTCCATATATATATTTTCTCAATGTTTTGAGAAAAATGACTGAAATTTAAGAATTTATTTATAAGTAGTAATAATATATATATATATATATATATATACACACATATGGGTGAATCTCCAAACAGTTGTAGTGTGTCCCATCCACAATGATAATTTTTTTCAAATTATTCCAATCGTGCTGAAATAAATGTTTTTGCAAGTTCATATGTTATATTTATTTCCCGATTAGGTTGCACTCTCAATTTTTTTGCAAGATTTATCAGAAACTGCATTTAGAGTACCATTTAATTAAAATAGTCCTTTTTTGTCAAAAAATATGAGCTGTCATTGAAATCAATAGAAGTCAGTTGAATTTTATACTTTTTGACAGTAACCAGTCTATAAAAGAGATTTGAGGAAAGGAAGACAACTAAATGTAACTGCAATCTCACTCAAATAATTTAGGAGAATGCTACAGATGGGACAAATTTAAGATATTTTTCCTTTTAAGTAGGCTGAAACTGTATGTATATCATTCTTCTGACTTAGAAGTGTGCAAAGTATTCTAATGACTCTAAGTCATATAACTTTGCCTTTGTAAACATGTCTTCAGTACGGACTGAACATTTTATGAAAAATTAAATACATCTTGCTAACAGTGATTTTTTTATAATTAACTAATGAGAAACACTACAAATGGTGATTTTAAACTCAAAAATCATGTCAGCTACAAGGCTTGATTCTCCAAAGCCTTCAAATTGAAGTCCAAAATACATTACAAAAAAGTCTATATGATGTTTGTTGATTTGGATTTCTGATATGAAGATTGGCACAGCAGTGATGACTGATAAACAAACATTTACAAAAATATAAAGTAAATAGTGAAAATCAGTAAAGAAGTTACCTGCTGAATAGTAAAATTTGATGTTCTTTCCAAAACCAGAAGAATAAAAGAATAAAAGTTCCAACATTTGCACCAAGTTGGCAACAAAAATCAAATTTGTACCCCGAGTTAGCACAAGATACTAAAATATTTATTACGAGAAAATGATCTTCAGAGGTTGGTGAAAGTGTTTTTACTACAAAATTAGTTTCATTTTTATGCAATGCTTACTTTCTCTGTCAAAACCCAAAGTTATTTCTCTGTGTTATCATTGATGAATTTATCAGTATACACTTTTGTTTTGGGAAGAGAAAATTTTAAAAATAATTATTCTGTTGATTTTGTGTTATGGATGGGACATTCAGTAACATGATAAATAATTCCAGAAAAGATTATGACATAGTAATATGTCTGGATATTCATTGAAGTACCCTACATGGAGATAAAATATACCGAGTATGAAATCAGAGCCAAAGCTATTTTAAAAAATATGGTCATTCAAAGTTACATTACGGATGAGACAACTTTTTGAACCATGGGTTTTTTGGGAATAACAATTGACATAAGAACTTGTCTACTCAGTTAATTGCTCAAAAATAATGTCCTGAACCAAAGGTAATGTATTTACAATAAAATATTGAGAGCCTCATGATTTATGCATTAGGCATTTAAGTGTTATGGACATATTTTATGAACAAAATGTACGAGACTAAAAAACAGAGCTCAAAATTTCAAAAATGTTACTGATATAGACTGTAATGTTTTTATATATATATTAAAAAGTGCTACCCATTATTGAAAAAGTAATAGTTTTTTTAAAAACTCCAGTTTGTTAGTACTACATTTAAAAATTACATCAATAAAGATATAATCAAACCCTCACATACAGTCCCAGTGAAAGTTATTTTTTTTGGTGTGAGGAGAGTACTTTTATTTAAAATCGTATTCTGTTATAAAGAAATGATTGTTGCACATACCATAGTTATTTTTTCAAATTGTCTGAATCTTGAATACCCAAAGTGTGAAATTTTTCTGTATTTTTGTTTGTGGTGCCATTGAATAGATGGCGCCACATTTCTCACATTGAGATCTTGGTGTATTTCAGCATAACACATGGATGGCACCATTGTTTTTATTATTTTGGTCACATAGGTAGATAGATATATAGACAGCCACACAACTTTTAATTAAAAAGTATTTTGTACACGTATAGTATTGTTTGTTTAAAGTTGTATTTGCCATTTTGTACATAATTAGAAAATCAGAAGATTTAAATTGCTTTACAGTGACAGGACCAAATAATAGAAAAGTTTATCCCCTTTGTTCCTTGATAAAGTAAAATATCACTAAACTCAACATCTACTTATTTTGTTCCAGTAATTATGGATTTTGTAGCAAGTTGTGATATTCTTATCTGATAAGTGAACCGTATTTAAAAACTAATATTTTGTAAAAAAATGTGGTTGAAAAAGTACTCTCCTCTTTCATTACTTTCTTATCTTCAGAATAGCTTCTGTTGGTATTCTGGTATATAGATATATGTTTCTACCTTCTTGTTTTAATATAGTATTGTTCTGAATTTATCATTTATTCTGTATAAGTGCAAGTGTCGCAAAACACGTGTTCGAGAAAACCTTTAAGCTCATTTCACTCTAGCTGCCTTTTTTTCCTTGTCATTCTATTGAAGTTGCACCTGTTCTATCCAGTGAAGAGAACGGCTGTGATTCTACACGTTGTGCAAGAAGGTCAACAGCTTAGTGTTGTTCAATGGTAGTTCAGGTGATATCCCTATGCTTCGGTGAGAATGACCATTCATATGATTAGCACTAGTCACTTGGGAGGGTAAATGGGACATTTCTTGTGAAGTAAGGAACATTGAGTTTAAATAGTTTTGTAGATAATTTCAGCCTGATCAGTTAAAAGTGTAACATGAAGTAGAAGAAACCTTCCCATGTATACACACACACACACACACACACACTTTGAGTTGAATAAAGATTGCTCATTTTATGCATTACTTTGTTGAATCTCTTTTTAAGTGAACATATCTAATTGCTCCTGAACATACCATAATATTGAGATAAAAACTTAGTACTTGAGTAGTGATTAAATTGTATCCTGATTTGTTGTTTTTCAAGTTTGGTTTCAGTATGGAAAGTTGAACAAGAACAACTTAACTTCCCCTTACTCCAGTTTTTCACGGAGCCAGAATTGCTTTTATTGGTTATTAAGCATGTTTTCTTGTAGGAAAGATAGCTATAGTTTCACTTGTTTAGCCAGCTGTCTTTTCTGATGGCACATTTGTTTATGATGTGAGGATTCCCCACATCTGTGCTGAAATACGAGTGGTCTTGGGGTTACAGGAGTGAGGTGTGAGAAATGAGCAGCCTAGTTTTGTTTGTATAGTAAGTTCAAAATCAGTACCAAGTATTGAATGGAGGTTTTTATGAACAGAATCATAACCAAATCATCAATAATAATTTGTATTTTTTTAATTCTCTAATTAAAAAATTATTTCTGGATATTTAAGTATTTCTTTCCATTAGTACCTGTGATATTTATAAAGTTTTATCCGTCATCTTTGCAATTTTCATTTTTGCCTCATAGTCAGAAACACTTAATTGCAATTTAAAATAGTAACTGTAAATTTCACCTAGAAATTCTATGGCTTTCTATCTTGTTGGTTCAGAAAAGTATCCTATCAGTATGACTTAACAGATGTTTATTTCAACTCATACAATTTCTTTATCCTAACTTTGCCTCAGGTAATACCACAACAGTCTATGAAGACTAATGGAAGTGCTCTAGACTGGAAAAAGTCTAAATTTTTGGCTGTTACTAAGCTAGAAGATGCACAAGCAATTCGCACAGGGGATTTTCATCCTGATGGACAGCTGTATGCCATAGGATCAAACTCCAAAACATTACGAATTTGTGCCTACCCCAAACTCCATGACCTTCAGTTAGTAAAATCAGTAATGTAATAAGATCTGTGCTGAATGTTACTTTTATTAATTGTTATATATCTCAGAAAAAGTTAAAATTTCAGGTTTTAGTGACAGATGTTAAGCTTATAATGGTGTGTTTTCCCATTTTTCCCACAAGTGACATGCATATTACGTGTATTTTATAGTGGGTACAGATATATTTCTTTAAGGCTTATCCTACAGACCTGCATTAGTTATAGTGATGAAAAAATTACATAGTTTAATGGTTCTTGATACGTAGAAGACCCGAAGTTGAGTTGTTGAAAAGTATTGAATTTAATATTTTATGTTAGTTTAATAGTATATATACATATATAAGATGTAAGGGGGAAGCTAATAAATCAACAGTACAAAACTTATATTTTTCATAGGCTTTAATAAGCATTGCAAATTGTTGGTTCCCATGGCCAGATGAACAGAACTGAAAATTAATTTCAATAAGTGAAAATGTCAGGCATGTTATATGTCCAATTCTTAGTTGAAGGGTAACTCTTTACCCCTGTAATTCACTCCCTGCAACTTGAGTGTGAGTTAAATGAAGCTACCATAATTAATAATTACAAAATAATTTTAGATATTTTGGGGAACACTTTGTTCATAATTTTAATTTCAGGTCTAACTGAGAAAGAAGTCCTGTAATATATCCAACGGATGTTGAAAAACGTATGTCACAACTTAATTTGAAACTCATTGAAACATATTGTTTAAAATTAAGATAATGAGATTTTAAATAAATGTTTTCAAAACTTGTACACCGAGAAAAGAGCTAAAAGTATCTTTACTCAAGAGAAACTTGGTCTTATTGCTGGTGTTATTTTTCTGTATTTATAAGTGTAAGTAAGTTTATTTTTCTTCATTTTGTTTGTTTAGATCTTTGAAATTAAGTATACTTATTTTGAATATCTCTACCCTTCTAATAAAAATATTAGACTTAACATATCTGAAGTATTAAAACTTGAACATATTTCAATTATAAACTATGTATGTGTATATTAGTGGAACTTTTAGATCCAAAGAGCCATTTAAAAGTTTCAATAATATCTAGTCAAACAATAAAGGCTCTGAGTGGAACTTGGCATCAAGCGGTGTTTGTCTTGAAAGGATAAATGAAACAAAACCAAGTTGTGAAAATGTGTCTTGCAGTCATTTATATATGTTAGAATGGACTTTGAATGCAGTTCACATGCATGTAGTCTTCTAGTTTATTTAACCCCATAATGCCAGCACTGGTTAGTTTAGTATACAGGTTTAACTTCTCTGGGGTCATAGTGACATACACTGGCATCCTAGGGTTAAACAGTCATAGGTAGAATTTAGCTCCCTTCCCGCCATAAAAAATTACAGGGCCTCAGATTAACCCTGCATGTCTAATCACACTTTATTTCTTAAAAGTAATATCTACCAAGTTAATTCAGGTTTCATGATTTTATGAAATCACAATTCTTTAATATTGCCAAAACACAAATTGGTACCTTAGTGTTTCAGTTTGAAAATATTTGAGGTTCCGGAAGTGAAGTGAATTAGACTTGCATGTAGATACAACTTTTTAATAATGGTTACTCATTCACATTGTTTACTTTGTACTTTCTGCTGTTGGTATGCACTTTGGTATTTTGAAGTATAGAATAAATTTTCGGGTCATTGAATCAGTTGTTGCATGCATGTACACCTTGATGGTTTTATAACCTTTTCTATTTCTAATAGCAAAAGTGTTCTCATAAGCATTTTTCTAGATATGTACTTTCATGAATTATGTTTAACTCTTGCAAACAAAATGCACTGACATGAAGTATGGAGAACCTTAAGTTAATGAGCTCAAGAACTTATGACTAAAATGTAATGTAATATAAAGCATAGGCAGAAGTTTCAATAATAAGTACATATTATTAAACCTTTCTCCAGTTTATGATTTTTTGTTTGTAATGTATAGTCAGGAATATGTTAAGACCATGGAGATTGTTTTAGTCTTGTTCAATCGTAGTGGATTTTAAACTTATTTTTTGCAGAACTGCCTTATTTTATACTTATATGTAATTCATTGAAAATTCTGTAGGTCTGCATTATTCCATGATATTGGTGAGTTTTTAATGGCTACTCCAACAATGGTTTGCTTGTTTTAAAATTTATGATTTTTCATCAACTAAAAAGTCTTTAGCATTTGCTTTCCTAATACACTAGAACTTTATGTGGTAACTACTTTACTACCAACATTGCAGTATGTTGTGTTGTTGCATAATAGCTCATAATAAAGATTGTATAATATAGGCATGGCTTTTATATTTTCATCCATAGAGTCTTATGCAGGAAATCATTTTGGTTTACTTACTCAGTATAGTTCATCTTCTAGCAGTACTGTGCTAATGTGTTTTTTTCAGAAAAATTCTAAACAACTGTATACTTATGATACACTGCTGTATGAAACTTCCTCTTCTTTGAGAGCAGTGTCCACAGCCTACACACTCAGCATCCAAGGAACCTAATCAGGGTCCACTTGGTGGTTCCCATCTCCGAGTATAGAATACATAGTGCTTTTATTAGCTCACTGTAACTTGCTTCCAAGGGTTTGTATGCCTCATGCCTATCCATCAGAACTTCAGACCTATCAAAAATTTCATGCCACTGTTTGAAAGTGACTGTTTTTTCTTTAAAAACCAAATGTCCTTTTAATCATTATAACAAAATTCTCATTCATAAAATATGTGTATGTATGTAAATAATCTTTCTGGAACTTATACAAGTTTCTGACAAGCTCCAAAATCCTTCTAACTGCAAAAGTTATGTACAGACTGAAACACTGTACTTTCTTTTTATGAATTTTAATCAAGCAAGTTCTTAAAAAAAAGGGTAGATACTTCAAGTGTTCATTCTGCATAGTATTATGGTAGTGAGAATTTTTTAATTTAACAATGGAAATGGAGCCCATTAAAAGAGACCCAGAGAAAAACTGTAATTAATCACTGACTTGATCTAAAAAAATAAAAAAATTGAGAAGCAGTTTATTTCTGTGTTTCCAAAACCACCATCTATGAATTACTCCCATTTATTTTATCATGCCCATTAACTTATATCTTATGCTTATTGATTTCTTCTCAACTGTGCTTAAAAAGAATGGAAATAAACACAGGATCTTTCTTTTCATACAACCCTTTACTTAATGATGTAACTTTAAATAGGTTTGAAAAGTAACTTAAAAGGGCAATTTAAGAATTCAAAAATGTAATCATGAAAGGTAAAATTAAATTAATTTTGAAAATATCAAATTCTTAAGACTTTAAAACTTAGTAGATAAATATGTTGACAAAGATCGTTTTGTGGGGTTTAATCACATAGCTTCTGTTAGATCATGTTCATACAAATTTTTAAAAGGCCAGCATATGTGTGATTGCACACAGTATTATAATTATCAAGGTCACAGTAATCTTGAAAAGAATTAACTTAAACATTCTTAAATTTTGTGTTGTATGTAAATTAAACAAGGAATACAATGCAAATTAATATAAAATGAAATTATCCTATTTCTGTGAAAAGTGTAAGATATTGATATCACATTATTTTATTCTGTTGCTTAGCAACTACAACAGTTCTATCTATAATAATAAAAGGGTGTGTCTGTGTGTTTGTGACCACCATAACTCCAAGAGGAAAGAACCTAGAAACCTGAAATTTTGCACCCATACTAAGTAGACCCTGAGGGTGTGCACCTGGGTATTATTACTTATCTACGTGCGTGCACATATCTTTATGCAAAAAAACACATAGAAAAGAAATGTGACTGCCATAGCTCCAAGAGGAAGAAATCTAAAAACCTGAAATTTTACACCCATAATAAGTGTACCCTGAAGGTCTGCACCTGGGTATTAATACTTATCTTATCCATGCGAGTGCGCATCTTTTTAATGAGGCAATCTAATGAAAAACCACATACAAAAGAAGTGGTTCTTTATATAACAACTTGTAATATATATATAGAAAAGCCATTTTGGTAACAATGTGTTCAAACAATTGTTTTTATATCATGTTGCTTAGTAGTAAAAGTATAACCTAATATTGTTATTACGAGGCTATGTGCTGAAAATATAAAATGAAGTGTATAAACTATAATATAAAAAATATTGGTTGTTTTCTAATTTAGAGTCTCCGTTAATTAAAGAGGTTTGTTTTTATTTTTTAAATTTAAAATTGGAGGACAAGTCAAAGGGAAGGTTACCTTTATAAACATGCCACATCCTGTAAAGGAGCAACAAAAGTATATAGATTATACTTTTATGCTAAAATGGGTTTAGAATACACATACTGACACAGTCTTCTAGAATAAATCAACCTAATAACTGAAGCGAAGCCGGTACTTTCGCTAGTAATTATATAATTGTTTGACATACTTTTCACATGTACTTCATCTTGTAGAGGTCATGGATAGACCTAGGGCAGAAAGGGAATAGATGTATAAAAACTATCAATATTTCATTATAGTGTATTTGAATATATTTGTGAAGAAAAAAACATTAGTCCTGCTCTTTGCTTTATGTAAAAATGTAATACTTTTACTTTTGTTACAGTTATAAAATGTATATAATTTTCATGCTTCAAGGTTAGATATAATTAGAATTACTGTATCATGAAATATAGGTTGATATACATCTCTAAGATGAATCTGCACAACATTATTTGACCAAATCTGGTGAAAATGATATCATTATAGATAGATTTATACTTCAATGCTTTGTGTATAGATACAGATTCATGAAATGCACAAGAATAGTGGTACTCTGCACATTTGAGACTTTTTGAAACAAAATTATGATTTTATGTTTTAGTTGATCTTTCACTGAAATATGAGTTCAGTTATAATTTCAAGTAACTACACAAACTTTGTGCATAGGTTTCTTGAACGTTCATATCAAAATAAGAGGCAAGTTTCACAATTATATAAATACTGCTAGAATACATGTTAATTTGTTATAAACAGATGAGATGCAACAGTTACTTCAGTACTACACAGAAATAATCTACTTTGTTTTTGGTCATCAGTCTGTTTAATTACTTAAATCATAAATTTATAATAGGTTAGATGAAGTTGATTTTATATTTTTACATGCATTTTTCACCATTCCTAAATCTACTATGTCAAGTTTTCAGTACAGTAATCTTTTCTGAAGTGCAAATTCTTGATAGTGTTGCACTATCACAATTGCTTAAAAATACTAATTTTCAACTACTTGGCTATCGCCATCGAAGCTAACCTCTAGTTTGTGTGTATGTGCAGTTATAGCTGTAAGTGCTTTTGTGTTAATCCATTTCAACTACAGATCAAATAATGTAATTTCACTGATTATAAGTATTGATGTTTACTACCTTATTTTTTATAAATATTATGAAGAGCATAAAATATTTTAAACACAGAATACTGCTTTTTTATCTTATATCCTCAGAGAAAATCATGTGGTACATCAACCCACAGTTCTTCTTAAGAGAATGAAACATCACAAAGGGTCCATCTACTGTTTGGCTTGGAACATTACAGGTGATCTCTTGGCAACAGGGTCAAATGATAAAACTGTGAAACTCATGAGGTTTAATACAGATACCTGTAACTTAGAAGGTGGGTTTGTAATATTTCTTTATAATTATGTTTATAGCATGATTGCTTGCAGACTTACCAAACAGTAATTAATTGGTCATCTCTGTTTTCAGAGGTCTGAAAATTATTTTAGTTGTGGTGCTGTAATTTCTAAAAAATTCTTTATTAGCTAGTTCTTATTTTAATATCTTGAAATTGTTTTTCACATTTTCCTTTGTGGGAGTATATTGCTTGAAAATTTTAAATAACTTCTAAGTCAGGGTTCCCAATTGACAACCCATTTGAGTAGCAGCAATTTTTTAGAACCATAGTTACTTTGAGAAGGAGGCAGGAGAGGTTACTGTTTTAATATCTGTCATTAAAGTCTAGTAGTGCTCTTATATTTTGTATTTTTATTTCTTCAGAAATATTTTATGATTTTTATTTTATAAATAGTTTTGAAATAAAAGTTTGTTTTGTGTGTCTTGTTATTGTGGAACCCACCCTGATACCTCTTGTGGCTTACCAGTGGGTCTCAACCCACGGTTTGTGAACCACTGTTGTAAGCAAAAGTAACAACGATGTGAACAGGTTAAGGATAGACTGATTTAAAGAATTTACTAATAAGATTAGAGGACATTTAAATGAGTATTAATATTAGGATTCATCAGGCATTGAAATAACAATAATATTTATAATAATTTTATTACTCAATAATTTATTGAAATCTATAGGTAAATTCAATTCATCACATATTTAAAAAAATTTTGTTCTGAGATTATATTGCATTCCGATGATGAACTAAGCACTCAGTTACCTGGTTTTCGCATTGATAAGAAGTTTGGGGAATAAATGTTTAGAAGAACAGATGTAATTATCTGTTGTAGGTGGAATGAATGAGACAAGACATAGTGCAAATTTGAACAAAAAGATTTTATTAGCAGAGAAGACAGAAAAAAGTTTGATCTTGTGGTTATAGAAATATTGCTTTTAAGTTAAGGTTGAAATTTTAAAAAATTACTTGTATTTAAAGTAAACAAGTGGACCTATGTTTGTTGGAAACAAATATAAAAATAAACTATATAGAAACAGCTGATGAGTATTGGCAGTTTTAATTGATGATACAAGAATATTTGGTTTATGTGGTGATGTTTAAGCTCAGGGAAAGGACTTCTACATAGGTCTTGGTTCTCTCTCAAGATGTTCAGTGGAATGCTCGAGGACTTATAACACTTACCTCCTCTCGCACTTTGGCTTTATCCAAACAAAAGTTTCTGTTTTATGCCCATCTAAGCATTGGTATCAATTATACCTCACTTGCTCCAATCTTTATACCCCACTATATCACCCCTAGTGATTTTAATTTTTTCACTCTCTCCACCTACGTCAATGCATCCTGTATACCAGATCTGTATATAAGCTCCCCGTTTCTGCTACTTATTCACTTTTTCTTGAGGGAAGAAATTATGACAATGGTCATACGTGATTACTGTGAGTTTCTCTTTAATGTTATTACTACGTTTTTGTCATTTTATTTTAGACCTGTTCTAGGTATGATATAGTGGGGTATAAAGACTGGAGCAAGTGAGGTATAATTGATACCAATGCTTAGGTGGGCAGAAAAGAGAACCTTTCATCGGGATAAAGCTAAAGTATGAGGTAAGTATTATCAGAAATACATTTTCGTTATAGGAAAATGTGAACTTTCAATGTTTGATTCATCCAATAAGCACAGTACAGATAGTCCATTGTTCAGCTTTGCTCTTGAAGACTGAAAGACTGAAACTAGTCAGGCTGAAAATGCCAAAATTTTTCTTGCAGTTCACATTTTCTCTAGCTGACTGCATTATGTAGAACACATTATAACTATACATGAAACAGTTGATAGCTTCCATGACTGAATCCTGCTAAAGAAATACACTTAGGGTTAAATTTACATATGATACTGATACAATTTAACATAATCCAAATTGAACTATAGAAAATTTTTAAAATTTTGCAGATATGTGCTACAGACAAATGACAGATTTGATATTTGCATACCACAACCACATAATTTAAATAGGTCATTTAAAATAATTAATCGGTTGTAACTAGGACTTCTGTTTCTGGCACCTGAAAATAATGTATATTCCGTGAACTAAAATCTCCATGTATTTATTGTAATATGTGTGCTTTATCCAAAATATATGAAGACCAACTTTAGTTTATACTGAAGATCTAAAGTAACAGTTTTAATGATGTGTTCACATTTCATGAACATTATACAGAAAAGTGATTTAGTACATTATAATAACTACTGACTATGGATTTCCTAATTCATTTGAATGTAAAAGACTGGTTGTTGTTAAGCAGGTGGAGAAGCAGAATTAACAATGCATGATGGAACAGTGCGAGACCTGTGTTTTGTAGAAGATGTGAGTAACAGGTCAACCCTAATGATTAGTGGTGGTGCTGGAGATTGTAAAATATATGCCACTGATTGTGAAACAGCAACACCCTTTCAAGCTCTTTCTGGACACACAGGTGAGTACTTAATTGATTCTGTTATGAAATAATAAGTTTTTCGAACTAGGCTTGTATCTGTATAATAATAAT